GGAAAGTGCAGATTTCTGCAGTGTTGGCTGTTTTTGTCTAAGTCTGTGTCTGCGAGTGTTGTCTGTCTGTGGGAGGTTTTGTCAGCGTGTCTCTTCTAGTTGGCCGTGGCTCGTCCTCTGTGGTTCTGAACGGTGATTACAGTGAGTTTATCTCACATCCGGACACATTCACTGCGGAGAGAACACCACGCTTTTACTGCATCAACATAATTACAGGAAATCTCAGATGCACAATATGTACAGGTTGCTTTAAAAAAAAGTCAACATTATTCTCCCTCCAGTGAAATGTTTATTAGTTTTCATATTTCCCGATTTGTTTTACAGAGCAAGAAGTTTCTCTCAGTGTCTCCTCTAATATCTGTTCTTCTGGAGAAAGTCTGATTAGTTTTATTTGGGCTAGAATAAAGCAGTGTTTAATAGTGTTAAAGTCATGTTAAGCTCAATATTATTCACCCCTTCAGCAATATTAGTGTTGGATTGTCTCCAGAACAAACCACTGTTATACAATGACTTGCCAAATTACCCTAACTTTACCCTCATTACCCTAGTGAAGCCTTTACATGCCACTGTAAGCTGAAAACTAGTGTCTTGAAGAAGATCTAGTCTAATATTATGTGCTGTCATCATGATGAAGAGACGTCAGTGATTATCAGATATGAGTTATTAACACTCTCCTCTCTGTTAAACAGCACTTAATATTTGGCTTATAGTTTTGTTTTCAGCTGTGTTTGATCTGCATGAAGTGATTAATATTGGGTGGAGTGTGTGTGTGTGTGTTTAACAGAAGTGTGTGTTTGGTGTCTCAGGTGCGCATTGAGGAGCTGGAGGAGGAGCTGGAGGCGGAGAGAGGATTACGAGCAAAGGTACGACACTAAACCAGCGTCTGCATCTTCAGTCAATAATCAATAATCATTACCTGGGCCGGGCCGTGGCATAGGCAGTATAGGTGAATGCTAAGGGCGCTGTACATCCAGGGGGTGCCAGAAATGGGCAGCACCCAACCTCAATCCCCCCACCCCCCCTGCGCTTCACTTTCACGAGGTCACACAAGAATAAGGCGTATTTGGCGTGCTGTCCAGGGAGAGGAGCTCAGAACCCCAGAGGAAAGAAACCCCAACACCCTTATCAGGGTAGACAGAGAAGTTGGGGTTCGAGCGAAGCGTCTAGCCTGGCCCCAGAACACTCCCCCCGCGCAGATGAATGTTTAAGAGGGGAGGTGTCGGGTGGTGGAGGGATGCTAAAGGCGTGAGATAATGCAGGTAGGACAGCTTTTATAGGGGTTTGGTCTGATGCTGATTGGATAATAGAATGATTGTCACTGCCTACATTTACATGGACACCAATAGTTAGATTTGAATGCGATTAAGACAATACTCTGATTAAGAGTCGACCATGTAAACAGTGATTTTTAAATAATTTAATCAGATTAAGGTTTATTATTAAGGTGCAGTATTATTATCAATCGCATTATTAAGGTGCAGTACAGACATGTAAACACCTTCATCCAACTATTACCGGCATGTAGGGCTTTTCGCTGCGTTTTGCAAGAGGATAGTCCACAAACACCCACACACACACACACACACACACACACACACACACACACACACGGTTGTTTGACACTCTTTGCACCCACCGAGTCAGTGCAGACCACTGACACCTGCATTGTGAAATGTGGAGGTTTTTTCCAGCACTCTTCCAGCAGTTCATTGTTGCATCCAATATCTCGTTTGTGGCATGATCGTGGTTTGCACTGAGCGCTAGTTCAGATTGCTCCGGGACTGATCATCAAACAGGTTTGTGCCACATGTCGCTCTGGAACGTCGTCTCCTTTGTGAATTCAGTCCTGTAAATGAAAGCCGCCTGTTTTACTGTGAAACATGTAGTTGAATGCAGATGTTTACTGCTCTCTGGGCATTATTAATCAGAGGCTGTTTTCAGTGTGTTTAATCTGGATTCAGCTTCATTCAGAACTCACCCTCATGCTGGAAAACTTGTGACGTTATTAATAAAAATAATAATACCATGCATTTGACAAGCAGACAACACCTTAGCAACCACATAGCAACAGCCATCGTTCATCTTAGTAGCATGCCTGAGAGATTTAAAACATATTGGGCTTTTTTTAACTGCTTTCCAGCTGCAACCCAGTACTGGAAAACACACTTATGCACACTCACTCACTCACTCATACACTACGGCCAGTGTAGTTGATCAGTTCCCCTATAGCGCATGTGTTTGGACTGGAAACCGGAGCACCCGGAGGAAACCCACACCAACACGGGGAGAACATGCAAACTCCACACAGAAACACCAACTGACCCAGCCGAGACTCAAACCAGAGACCTCCTTGCTTTGAGGACACAGTGCTGACCACTGAGCCACCGTGACGCCCCTATATATATGATGTCGCACTTAAATGTGTGTGTGTTGATGTTTAGAGGAGCTGAAGTAGACTGATTGTGTGTGTGCTTGTTTGTAAGTATGTGTGTGCGTGTATGCGTAAGCAAGATTGTCTGTGTGTGTGTGCGTGTGTGTGTGTGTGAGATGCCCTCATGTTGGGTGGTATGTTTGTGTGTGAGAGTCAGGTTCAGACATGTGCAGGTATATCTGCAGTCAGTGAGGTCCAGCTCATCCCAGACAGCCACAAACACACACACACACACACACACAAACATAAACACACACACACACACAAACGCACACACACACATACCACACACATGCATACACACCCCTCACACACACACACACACACACACACTCACACAGACTGAGAATGCCATAAAAGAGACTCCAAAATTAAGAACACGGCTCTAAAAACAAAATTAAAATAAATAAAACCAAGCATGTAAGAAAGTAAATTTAAGTGACCACTTCAAAGTTAGGTCAATTTATACACACACATACTGTATATTTT